GACGCATTCTCTCCTGATGATCTCCATGCTAGAGTCCGGGATACGGAGCGTTCGACGGTGAGCAGTGCATACGGCTGTTTAGACTACGCAACAGGATACATATATGTGTTCAGGCAAAGAATACAATGGAAGGAGAGGACAACAACTAGGAGGAAAAAGATGTCTAGTGAAAGTAGAGTAATGTGGTCAAATAAGAGGAGAGTAGAAGAAAGCGGATATAAACTAATTGCTGGACAGCGTAAACAAAAGTAAAACAAATAAGAGCGGTAACAACAACCGCAACAGCAGTCGCAGCAGCAGCATCACAAACAACAACAACAACAATATTAGTTCGAATGTAAAATTAATGAAATGATTAAAACCACAACAACAACGTCAACCACAATAATACTGAAAATAGTAGTAGTACTACTACTGTAAGCAGGGGTGGTAGTAGTTGCAGTAGTAGTAGCAATAATAGTAGAAGTTATAGTAATAGTAAAAGTAGTAGTAGTAGCAGCAGCAGCAGCAGCAGCAGCAGCAGCAGTAGTAGTAGTAGTAGTAGTAGTAGTAGTAGTAGCAGTAATAATAACAATAATAATAATAATAATAATAATAATAATAATAATAATAATAGTAGAGGAGTAGTAGTAGTAGGTATAGTAGTAGTAGTAGTAGTAGTAGTAGTAGTAGTAGTAGTAGTAGTAGTAGTAGTAGTAGTAGTAGTAGTAGTAGTAGTAGTAGTAGTAGTAGTAGTAGTAGTAGTAGTAGTAGTAGTAGTAGTAGTAGTAGTAGTAGTAGTAGTAGTAGTAGTAGTAGGGGAGATACTAGATAAGGACGATAGATGCTTTTTCATCGACGAAAAGACTTTTAAAACCTGTCCAAAGCAAAAGTCAGAGACTCGGAGGGAGAGCTTTTTCACACCACGCCCCCTCGCTGTGGAACGCTTTACCAGCTCATCTACGGGAGTCCTCCACTTTATCAAAATTTAAATCAGCACTTAAAATGCATTTGTTTCAGTCCAGCTTCAATCTGACATTCCCAATACAAATATTATTATGTTCTGTCAGTATCTATTATGTTCTCTCAGAATCGTTTATTCATGCTGTTCTGTTCTGTAAGAATTTATGACTGTAAATTCATCAATGTGTGCGAGGGTGTCTGGGTAGGCTTTGTGGGATTGTCTTTACTCAAGGATGTACATGAGAGAGAGAGAGAGAGAGAGAGAGATAGAGAGAGAGACAAAGAGAGAGAGAGAGAGAGAAGAGACAGACAGACAGACAGACAGACAGACAGAGACAGATTGAGACTAGTGAGAGAGAGAGAGAGAGAGAGAGAGAGAGAGAGAGAGAGAGAGAGAGAGAGAGAGAGAAAGAGGATTACTATAGGTGCTGTGCGCTTCATATGTGCTTTATATTATTGTACTTCGCATTGGGCACTTCTTTGTGGAAATACGCTATATAAATGCGATTTATTATTATCTATTATTATTTTTTTTCATAGGAAAGAAGAAGCAAACCATACCAGAGCACCCTCCAACCACTCACACCCAGACCTCAGAGGTCGACGTGTAATTACCATGACCCTCCAGCGCTCATGGTCTCTTGCTGCCGTTCCACATTCTGCCAAACCCAGCACTAAGTCACCATTATTGTGTATTTTTAGTTTCAGTAAGAGTTTTACGGCACTTGCAACACAATAAGGTCGTATAAGTGCCGAAGATTAGAGGTGTTACAAGAGAGTAACAAACACAAAATAGGAGGAGGAGGAGAGATCGGGACGATAGACGTTTGATAGGAAAGAAGAAGCAAACCACACCAGAGCACCCGCCAACCACCCACACATTATTGTGTCTGCGTGCTTCTCTTTACTCATACAAAACAAAACAAAATAACACAAAATAAAGAAAAGAAAAGCAAAGCAACGAAAAGAAAAGAAAAGCTAAGCTAAGCAAAAAATAAATAAATAAATAAAAGTCAAGCCTCATCATCATCTGGTGCCTTCGTTACTGGCGTGGGCGATCATGGACTTCCACTTCACTCTGTTTTGCGTTGCAGCAATGGTGTCTGTTGTTCTTTCTGCTCCCAGCCATGTTGTCAACTTGTCTAGTGTCTTTTCCCTCTGTCTGCCTCTGCCTCTCTTTCTGTCAAACTTGCCTGTTGTTACAATATTCTCCAATGCTTCTTTCCGCATTTTGGGTCCAATGAAATTTGCTTGTCGCTTTCGTATATTCGTCATAAGCTGTCGTCTGCAATTTGCTTCAACCCAGACTTCTTCCTTTGTTTTTCTAGCTGTCCATGGGTTATGCAGCATGCGTCTTATGAACCACAACCAAGCCTAAGCAAAACAAAAAACAAAAAAACAAAATTCACCTGTATGGGGGAGGAGCGGGCAGAGATCTGTGTGAAGCCCTGTATGTCAGAGAAGAAGATGGTGGACTCGGTGAAGTTCTCCGCCGTGACCACCTCGTTCCGCTTGAGCTGGTCCGCCACGGATTTGGGCAGCATCTGGTACAGTAACGTGTCCGTCCGCTTCTTCTCCTTGTTCAACGCTTTGGTCCTTGTGGGTGGAGAGAGGGAGAGGGTGAGAGAAAGAGAGAGAAAGAGAGAGAGAAAGAGAGGGAGAGAGAGAGAGAGAGAGAGAGAGAGAGAGAGAGAGAGAGAGAGAGAGAGAAAGGGAAGAGGAGAGAAGGAGATGAGGAGAGAGAGAGAAAGGGGAGAGACGGGAGAGAGAGAAAGGAAGAGAGAGGGGAAAGAAGGGAGAGAAGGGGGAAGAGACGGATAGAGAGAGAGAAGGAGGAGGAGGAGGAGGAGGAGAGAGAAAGAGAGAGAGAGAATTTTATTAAAATTTCCAGAAAAGTATCACCGAAAGTAGAGAAGGTAATAATAACAACAACAACAATATTATTAATAATAATAATGATGATGAAGATGATAATCATCATCATCATCAGAAGAAGAAGAAGAAGAAGAAGAAGAAGAAGAAGAAGAAGAAGAAGAAGAAGAAGAAGAAAAAGAAGAAGAAGAAGAAGAAGAAGAAGAAAAAGAAGAAGAAGAAGAAGAAGAAGAAGAGTGAGTCTCTGCTTTTTCACCTACTAATTAGCCTGAACTCTCCCCAACCACACCCCCTTTGGACCACCGCGACCGACAACAACAGTGAAACAGAAAATGACTGCATCTTTCACACTATCTCATGAGCTTGGCATGCCATGGGCATGTCGGAGGTTCGATTCCAAATAAAGTACGGTTAATTTTTTCCTTGTCCTTAGTGCAGTATGGGATGGGTTTGGTTTCTCATTTCACCCGTGCTATGAAAGGAATAAATGGTGGTTGGACTGGGGGAAGGGGTGTGCGGGGAGAGAGAGAGAGAGAGAGAGAGAGAGAGAGAGAGAGAGAGAGAGAGCGAGAGAGAGAGAGAGAGAGAGAAAGAAAGAGAGAGATATAGATAGACCTATGTTATATTTATATTATATACATAATATACAATACATATATTATATATTATATATATGTGTTATATATATATATATATATATATATATATATATATATATATATATATATATATGTATTTATATATAGAGAGAGAGAAAGAGAGAGAGAGCTAGAGAGAGAGCTAGAGAGAGAGATGGAGAGAGAGAGAGCGAGAGAGAGAGAGAGAGAGAGAGAGAGAGAGAGAGAGAGAGAGAGAGAGAGAGAATGAAATCAACAGAGAGTGGCTATCGGCTATTGTAATGGGGTCCAGTCGGACTCATGTGACGGCCACCCACCCAAGACAATTACCTGTACACACTATTTTGTCTCTTGCGTTTTTAAAAACAATAGTATTATTATTTTTTAAATGAACCAATACCTCCACCATTATAAAACAAACACGATAATCATCGACAGTGGGTGGCTGTCTCGGACAGTTTCCACTGTATTTCTGTATCTCGTTTGTGTTTTCGTTGTTTGTTTGTTTTGTTGGGGGGGGGGGGGGTGTTGGGTTGTTGTTGGTGGGTTTTTTGGTGTTTTTTTGTTTTTTTCTGATAAGTGTTTTATGCGCTCGTAACTGCATAAGGTCATATGATCGCAAGGGACAAACCAAGCATTCCCAGTGGGTAGGGAATTTTGATTTTTGCCCGGATGGTGGCCGAAGCATACTCTTATCGTTTTTAGACCACCAAAGGATGTTTAACGTGCACAATTGCACACGGGATCTCTGAGATTGTTCGCCCTTATCCGAGAAGGCTAGGTGAAGATCTTTCTTACCATAAGATCAGGGGTGTGGCTGAAAGACAGTAGTAAGAAGGAGCCAAGGGGTAGCAGTGGACAGGCTGCAGAAAGAGTCAGGAGCCCAGAGGAGGGGGCAAAGGGGGTGGGGGAGGGGGGCTAAAAGAGGAGACGAGAGCAGACGACACAACATTGCTAGAGAGCGGGAAACGAAGTGAAAAGAGACCATGTTAGAGAAGAATTTGTTTCCCTCGCTACCCGGATTCGAACCCAGGACCTTTGAATGAGAGGCGAACACCTTAACTTCAAAGCCGCGAGAGCCCCCATTCTCGTTTGTACTACCTGTCGAGTTACTTGTCTGCTTGTGTGATGAAGTACTGCTATTTCTATCTATAGTGCGGTCAAAAATTCGTGGCGAGACTTATTGTCAAATTTCTCCTCAACTGTAGAACATAAGTTTTCCAAATTTTGCCGAATGACTTTTATTAATTTGTCTTAACAGATCAACATTTTTGTAAACACCTTCTAGCTGTATTCTATAAAATTCCTTTAATTACAAATACTTGTTTAAAATCCTAGTGGGTGGTTTCTACAGATTTTAAAATGTTTACAGCTGGGGCAATATTGCTTTCAATAGCAAGTCCTTCATGTTTTTCTAATCGGGACATTATGCTTATTGAACGCATGTTTTGAGAATCATTTTCGCAAAAAAATGAGTTAACTATAAAAATAATTTCTTATAACAAGTTTTGCCACTAAAATTTGCCATTGATGAGCTGTGACGCAGGCCATATGCGTAATCAAAATGTGTGTGAGAAACGGGAAGTGCTGTGAGCGATATGATTTTATGTTTGGTAGAGATTTCAAGTATTTTATATACATATATGAAGAAATTATTTTTTTTGAATCTAGCCCCAATTGTTCTGTGTGATTTACTTAAGACAAGTTGATACAAACTGCTTTGCAAAGTATGGATAAAATTGATTCTCGCGTTAAAGAGATATTAGAGGATATGTTGTGCCACGAATTCTTTACCGCACTATAATTCATACTGTCCTGTCATTACCTGTCTGCAAGTGTGATGGAGTATTTCTGTATCTCGTTGGTCAGTGAGTAGACGGCGTAGATGATGACTGGACAGAGGATGAACACGCAGACGAACACCACGGAGATGGCCACCATCTTCTGGAGGTTACTCTCCTGTCGTTCGTCCAGCACCTGAGACAAGGATGGTTACAACATTTAATTGATACAAGCAAAGATCGTGTATAACAAGATAGTTCACTTCTCTCTTTGAGTGAGCCTATTAAAAAAGCGTCCTCAAAATTCGGTGGCGCCGCACCCTCTTCGAAAAAGAGCGGACTTTGCAAACAGAGTTACCTTACTAGTGTGAAAGAAAATAAAAGTGAAACTAACAAACTGTTCTATTTCTTCTTCTTCTTCTGGAGAAACGGAAGAGAGCTTCAAAACAAAGACTGTAGCGCCATCTGAAGCAATGCGCGGACTTCCGCGGACACTTTTCTGGCTGAGTGGACTATCTTGTTATGTACGATCTTTGATACTAGCAGCTGGGTACCTGTTTGATGAACGGACTAAAAAGAATCGATCGTCACGTCATTGCGGAACCAGTGCGCACTGCTTGTGAATGGAAGCCTCACTTATTTACAATGGCGTCTTAGAAGACGAACTTTATAAAGATTGAAGTTAAACGAAACTAATGAGAAACTGAAAATTGAACTACAGTGACTTTAGACTCCTTAATATAACTGTGCAAACTTTAAATAATTCTGAACCACCGTTGATTTTTTCAAATTCGAAAGTTAAGTGGTTCGAAAGTTTAAGGCGACCAAAGTGACAAACTTTCACAAATGTAATTTAGATTATACGTGGATGTATTTATAGTTGAGTATATGTGTGTCTGTCTGTCTGTGTGTGTGTTTTGTGTGCGTGTGTGGGTTTGAGGAGAGGGTTTTTGTGTTTGTGTTTCTGTATGTGCACGGGTTTATACGTGGGTTAATAAGTATGTGTGTGTGTGTGTGTGTGTGTGTGTGTGTGTGTGTGTGTGTGCTTGTATGTGACAGTGTCTGTGTTTCCACAGCTCTACATTCAATGCATAGTTAAGTCCGTCCTGTACAAATGTGTGTCTGTGCCGGAGAATATGGTCCACTTGTGCAAGTTTTTGTTGTTTGGGTTTTTTTTTTACTTTTGCTCTTTATTTCACATCTGCATAGAATAACATTTCCTCATGACTCGGGGTCTTGTTTTCCTGATACTTCAAACAGCTTTAAAGATAGAATAACTTTTCTGGGG